CAGGGGTTTAATATTCATTTAATAGATATCTAAAATTACACTGAAGTGTAAACTGTGATATCTTTCTTATTTACTAATATGCTTCAGTTTTCATCATACTAAAATCATTCTATGAACACACAGCACCTAACACAATCTCTGGCACTTATCAATGTGTGCTGGATGAATATGTAGGGAGGTGGGACAGTTTATCTAAAGGTTAGCCTTTAATTCATGTGAATGATACATAGATGAAGTACAACTTAACTGTGTTCAAGTTTGACAGTCACTGCATATCTGATTGTCAAATTTACATCATATAATCCATCTAGAATTTAATGGTGAAATTACAACTTACTCGGCAATTTTCTTTGAAAACTCCATACATGATGAATTAGAATTTGCTGAAAACAGCAACAGACCTCCTTCCGTTATGTTCATCTTGGTTTCCGATTCAGGTGGCATCACACAAAACTTCAAAACCTTTTGGTTTTCAAATTCTCAGAGCCTAGAAGCACATAATATATGTTAAGAATTGCCATGATATAAAACATACCTCTTTGTATTTTTTATAAATAGCAAATAACTTCAGCTGAAGAAAACCAGTTTTCACCATAATGGTGTCTTCTATGTTAGAGGGAGATACATTCTTATATGGGTAAACAGAAAGGGTTCCAAATTGATGAAAGTAAAAGGAGTCAAACTAATTTTCACAACCACTGAGAATAAATGATGAACTTACAAGAAAGATGGAGCTCAAGAGCCCAATGCTTTACTGTTTACTGCTTAAAGTCAATTATGGACGACCTCCTTTTATTCTCTGACATCAAATTTCTCCTGGATTAACACATAGAAAAATGGCAGAGCCATGAGCAAGGATGTGCACTCATCGATCCTTGAACAAAAAATAAGTGACCCGCCTACACCCAGCTTTTCCTGTAAAAACTGTTTCCCATAAACCTCCCTGTGACCTTTCAGCTGTCTCCTAGTTGCCCAAGTGAAGCATAAAACTGATCTTGTCATCTTCCCTTTCCTCAACTGGAAGAAGGGGCTGACTATAAAATAAACTTAAGGAATGTTAAGTGACCTTTCAATTGACAGGCAGCAGGACAAAAGTCTACATGTCATTTCAGAGCTGAGTTTCTCATCCCATTTACTCTGGGCTGCGTGTCCCTATTATGTAATGAGGATGCTGTGTTGCATGGAGTATCAACAATCCAGCAGGCCATGAGGGGGCCCTCTCCCAGAAAGCATAGTGCACTTCTTCCATGTTTGCTTGCGGCCCCTGGTGGTTATAAACAGGCTGAAACTCAGCTGATCCTTTTTGTTATTCTTAAATTTAAATTAAACAAGTAACATGCAAACACATCCTCCTTGTCAAGATCTTCAACACCACAGTTAGGCAAAAATCACCAGCCCCAACACCAAACTTGTCCCCCAGAAGTGAGGGCTCCTGGATACCTCAGGCCTTCTCCATGCACTCACAGGCCTGACCCTTATAAAACATATAGGCAAAACATACATTCAATGTTTCCAGCACAAAAAGGTATCACTTCACAAATTCATCCTTTGTTTTTTCACCAAACAATATATTTTGACAAGCTGGGTTAGAAAACACAGCCTTGCTAAGTTACTAAGTTCTTCCTAACTGCTGCCAAGTCTTGCATTCTGTGAACACGCCACTTTTAGACAGGTCACCATCTGCAAGAGTTCTCAATGCACACACATGCCATGGAACCATCTGGTCTCAGGGAGCTCAGTGGATAGTCCCACCAGAGGGCTAGGAAAGTACACCTCTAGCCAAGTGCCCTCAAGGGGCTTTCCAATTAGGACAGCCCAGGATTCCAAACCAGAAAATATGTGGAACTACAATGCAATTAACCTTGACACTAAACAGAAACGTATATGGGATGATCTAAGTACTGAAGAGACCAAGGAGAAACACTGATGTCTACCATGGCTTTGAAGCAGGGATCAGCAAATACAGCTGTGAGCCAAATCAAGTCCCTTCAAAGCCACTTTTTATAAAATTTCAGCCGTGCTCCTTTGTTCACAAATTGATCCTGGATGCACCTGCAGAGTGGGCTTAACCACAAAGCCAAAAATATTACCTGGCCCTTTACATCAAAGGTTGACTGACTCCTGCTTTACAAGAGAACACAGCATCTGCAAAGGAGGAGAATCTGGTAGACAGGTCAATATAAATGAAAGAAATACTGCATCATCACCAACACTGGGTGGGAAGGGATATAACACCATCTATCAATGTGTTTACAAAAAGGGTAGAGGTTCAGAAAGAAAGCAAACTTTCTTCAGAAGTCACAAATTTAGGCTTCTGAGTCAAAACTCATGTTTGCATTTTTGTTTCTACTTCTCTTTAATTGACAGTGAGGCCTTGCTAAGTTACTTAAGATATCTTAGCTTGAGTTTCCTCATCCATGCAAATTGAAAAATTGGTCCCACAGGGTTACTGTAAAATTTCTGCCAAGCATTTAACACATGGACATTGGACACATGCATATGCAAATCCACTTCCAACACCTTGGATATCTATTAAATACAGTAATAGTTATGGGGCAGCCATCTTTCTGTACCCTCTCACCTTCAAATAAGCTCCTAATAGTACAACAGAGTTCTCAAGAGTACTTGGAACAGAATGAAAATATTTTAGAGATATGAAAATATCATAGAAATCATTCAGCCCATCTTTCCTTAATCTTCTGTTAGTAGCCTATCTGCAGGATTCTTGTCAAGGAACCACTACACCAGGTGCTTGAACAGTCTGAAGCCCACACCAAGGGCTCATCATTTCAAATTCTTCCTTAGGACATGCTGAAACTCCTCTCTCTGCACACCTATCCTAAGCATGCACACATTGCTTCTTATCCTTTGAAAATTTATAGGAAACATTAGATTCCTTGTTCACAGGACAGCCCCCACCCTACTCAAGACAGTTCTCTTGGCCCTGTGTATTCCCTTCTTTGGGATATTTCCTGAAGTGTTTCCTCAGCTCAATGGCTCAAATGCCCTATATCATCTCAACTATGGTCCCTTAAGTTCCAGTCTTCAACTTTAAGACTATAATCAAATTCTAATGTAAGGGTTGGGGGAGTTGCTAATTAGTAGAGTATGTATCACTCTGGGTTGGGGCAGTACTTTAAAAAATCCTAATGTAAGACCATTTTCAAAATGGCATGGTGGAGGGTGAGGCATCCATTTGGAAATAACTATCAATACAGTCATTCCCTGTGACTACTCATTGCACAAATTACTCACATAAAATAATTTTGTTTCTAGTGTTAATTCTCCTTTTTCCTATTGAAAATTCCAGTTGTGCTCAAGAAAAGTGAGTTTTAAAGGATATCCTGAAAAACATGACAGTAGAGGCTGGTAAGAGACTCATCAGCACAGGTTTTAGTGTGAAGTGGAGAATAAAAACATTCCCACTTTTCCCCCACAAGCTACAGTTCCTTTTATGTTTATCCTAAATCTACTCTAGAATGTATAATAATTATTTATAGCATGTGTGAAAACCATCCTTTCCAGAGAATCTTTGCATCTTTTAAAGTACAAATTACACACTCTCTGAAGAAGCTTTGACAGTCTGCTAAGTTTCCTAAATTAAATCACATTGCAAGAGATCACCTGCTGTGGACAGACTAGCAGTCATTTCAACACCAACCATCTGAAAGCCCAGGTGTGTAACTCAGTGGTAGAATGCTTGCTAAGCAAATATGAGGCTCTAGGTTAGATCCTCAGCATCACAGGAAAATAATTTTAAAATTACCTTTTTAAAAAATTGTTGACCTTGAGTGATGATTCATACTGGAGATGAACAAGACTGGCACAGAATTATATCATTTTCCTACTGTGTAATACTCTTCTATCTGCAGATGATTGGTGGAGGTGGGTGAAGGCTTCGGCTTGCCTTTCACAGTTACAATCCACCAGGCCTATGGCATATCCCTAGGTTGAAGTCTTTACCTTCCAGAAAATGGGAAGAGAAACCTGGTATACAGCTCCCCCATCAGAATCTAAACTCCAGGCAGCAGAATTTCTACTATTTTCTGCCTTATACCCAGTGCCTAGAACAGCACCTAGCACTTGACAGAGGCTCATCAAAAGTGCATTGAAGGGGCTGGGGTTGTGGGTCAGCGGTAGAGCACTTGCTTAGCATGTCCGAGGCCCTGGGTTCGATACTCAGCACCACATTAAAATAAAGAAACTAAAAATAAATAAATTAATTAATTTTAAAAAATGTGTTGAAGATTTGTGGCTGTGGCTCAGTGGTAGAGGGCTCACCTAGTAGACATGAGGCAGTTTTTCGATACTCTGCACCATATAAAAAATAAATAAAGGTATTGTATTCTCCTAAACTAATATATATATAAAGTGCATTGAATAAACCCTCACCTCACTGAGTTGCAATGACTGACATATGGAACTGAAGTAGTCTGTCAATAAAAAGGCATCAAAAACCAAAGGATTATTACTTTATTAGTGATAACAATCCTAAAACAAATAGTATACTTAATAAATATGTAACATGTGTCATTATTTTGACATGGAATTTAACCATGACCAATAATATGAAAAACCATCATTGTAATTCAAGTGAAAATGAATATCTGCTCTGGAAGTAGTGGGTGCTGTGGCGGCCTGCCTACGATCTGACAAAATCAAAGCTATGGGAAAATGGACAGTGAGGTTCAGAGAGATGGAAGGATCTTGGATTTTTGATTGACAATGCTTGGCGAGAAGACAAGCTGCCCCATGAGGATGTTGCAATACCACTGAATGAACTTCCTGAACCTGAACAAGACAATGGTGGCACCACAGAATCGGCAAAAGAACAAGAAATGAAGTGGACAGACTTGGCCTTGAAGTACCTTCATGAGAACCTGCCCCCCG